TTGTACTGAACATTAATTACATCTAGAGTTGTCAGATTCCATTATTTATAACAATTTAAGATGCACACTTTTAACATCAGGCTTTGCTAATATTTCCTGCAAATTCTGAAATGGCCCAAAATATACATTTTGCTTTAAGTATTCAATTGGTGTTTTAAATGCTCTTATTTCATATGTGAAATTCACTAATTGAATTACTAACCTCTCCATATATCTGTGAAAATTGATTTCTTTGCCATATTGAGTATTAAGAAACACTTTTTGGTGAGTTCTTTTCCTAATAAAATTTTCTTCAAGTTCTCTCAGGACTATTTAAAACATACAGTCTATACTGATTGCTGATATTTGTATTAGATTGACATCTAGATATTGGTACTAACTTGTTCATATCTTATGTCATTCCTATTTCAGTTTTAATTAAAAATTCAGTTGAAATATGTTTTAATGTAAGAATACATAATCTGAAAATAAAAATACAGTGTTAATGTTTGATAGAAAGAATAGCAAATACAAAGCTTGTGATGATGTACAAATATCAGAAAAGTGGCTTCAAACAGTATGACAGCAAATAGAAAATATGCCATAGGTTAGTGAGAAACAGTGTGACTCAAGTTTGAAAAATTAAATTAAGAAAAATATAATCAGAATTTTTAGTAAAGAGACTACTGTTCTTTGCTCAATATATATTAGAACATCATCCAAAAATCATTGTCAATATGTAATATTTTTTTAAAAATTAAAGAAATAAGCCACCAAACTATGCATGCAATTCTGTAAAAATAGTGTTTTATTTGGGAGCAGTATACTGTTTAACATGTTTTGCTAATATTTTAAAAAATTTAAAAAGCAACAGGTCTTTGGTCTGACAAGAGTGTCAAGTATGGGTTTCATCTTGTGGAGCAGAAAATGATTCAATACTCCCAGGACATTCATATCATCATTGTACCATTGAGAATGTCTTGCCATTCCAGATGTTATTTAGCTCACAGGTTCCATAACTGCTTAAGACTGTTGAGTACATTTCTCCACAGTAGTGCCCATAGTTACTTCCTGTACTGTGAAATCTAGCATTTAGTAATGAAACTTCCAGGGCAGTACTATCATGATATCTCCATGCTCTGTGACCAAGTACAAGATGCCTTCAGAAACAAGGTCTTTCCACTGACCTGTAGAGTTTAACTAACAGTATTGAGAGTTTGTGATTTTTTTGGAAGGGGGACTGATGACACTTCACTTACCAACAATTCAAATAGAGGAAACCCATTAACAAAAGGAGAGGGATGAATATAAGGGAACAATGTCCTCCAGACACAATAAGACAGCTGCACATATGAATTCACAGTGATTGCCATGTCATATGATCAATCCAGACCAAATCTCTGTATGGAGAGCTGAGGTGATTATGAAGATTCTCCTCTAGCTGAGCAGCCACTGTTTATTCAAGGTCGCCTAGAAAAGGAAACTCATTTTCTTTAAGAACAATGCCCCTGGTAAGTCAAACAGAATCCTGTGGAAGGCCACATCTAACAATACATGGGCAGCACAAACTGAGCATTATGGGTGAAAACAAAGACACAAAGTGGTCTAGATCTTTGATGATTTCAGAGAGGGGTTGTATATGCTCAAAACACATTGTAGAAAATCTCAATGAACAAATTAAAAAGAAAATTTTAAGAACTTTACCAAAGGTAGTTACTAAGAGAATTTATGCAAAGCAAAACATTATAATTTTAGAGTCCATTCACTAAATATTATAAAACTAGGACACATTTCAAGATAAGAAAACATCATGAGAAGCACAAAACTTGTAAAGGTTCCACTTTTATGGAGGATGAACAACATATGAAATATTTTCAATGGGATATTTTGGTAACTTTAACATAAATTATTGTGATATTTATTTGAATGGACTTAGTGGGTGATTTATAGAAATTAAAATGCTAAAATGCCCTTCCCCTACAATGAGATTGGTGTCTACCTTGGTTACCATTCCTAGAGCTTTCATACAGTAGCTGTTCAAAGCAGAAACACCCTTAGCTAAGCACTGAACCAGAATACTGGGATCCAGTTGTGGAGAGGGAGGAGGGATGAGCAAAGGAGCCAATACAGGGCTGGAGAGACCTGCAGAAACAGTTGATCTGACCTAGTGAGAGTATGGAGTATCTAGTCATAAAGCTGGGGAAACAGCATTGGACAGAACCAAGCTCTCTGAATGTGGGTGCCAGCTAGGAGGCCTGGCCATCTATGGGACCTCTAACAGTGGAGCCAGTCTTTAACCCTAGAGCACAAATGGACTTTTGGAGCCCATTCCCTATGGAGGGATACTGTTGCAGCTCAGATATGCAAGGAGGGCCTGGGCCCTCCCCCAAATAATATGACACCCTTAGAAGGGTGGAGAGCCTCGCTATCCCTGGGGAGGAGTTGGGGGATGGGTTAGGGGGATTGGTGAGGAACATGGGAAGATGGGAGGGCTAGGGAATGGGGGGATGGTTATGTAAATATGAGTAGTAATTAAAGAATAGAAAAAAGAAATAGTTTCTGGAAGCTGGAGGGATGGCCCAGTGGTTAAGAGCTCTGGCTGCTCTTCCAGAGGTCCTGAGTTCAATTCCCAGCAACCACATGGTAGCTCACAATCATCTGTAGTGAGATCTGGTGCCCTATTCTGGCCTGCAGGTAGAACACTGTATATATACTAAGTAAATAAATCTTTACAAAAAGAGAAAAATAAAATAAATGCTAAAATGAATAAATTTATGAATTACTGGTTAAAGCTTTACTTAAAAAATTAAGTAGTACCAGGCGTTGTGGTCCAGTCTAATGTCTTAGCAATCAGGGTGAATAGGCAAGAGGATTGTGAGTTATAGGCCAGTCTGGGCTACAGAGTGAGGCTTTTTATCAAACAAACTGTCAGAGATGAAGAACAGAAAACCATATCAAAGAAACACAGAAAGAAAAAATAATTTGGCAGAACAAATAAACTAGAAAAATGTAACTTGGAATACCAGCATAGCTAAGTAGGCTTATTTATTAATTAATGGCATTAGACTACTTGTAAATTGTGAAATCTGGCAAAAAAATTTCCTACTTTATTGATGGAACATATGGAAAGACAAATCATTGCTTAAGTAAATCATACATGCCTGGAAACACAAGCATGCACATTCTGGTTACTATCAACTTCACACAAAATACATCCCATAGTCCCATATTACACTCCCTCCTCACCACAAGGCTCTTTCCTATAGTCCTAACATTTTTCCTATCTTTCTGTCTTGAACATCTTAACCAAGTCATCTGTGTGGCCATAATTTTAGAACTATTTAAAATTGCATGGGGGCCTTGTTGGTAAGTACACAACTGAATACAAAGTTTGCCCCATTCCAGAATCTATGAGTGACCCAAAGATCAGTAAGAGAAACTGTCAGATGTCCCCAACCCCCACCAATTTAGTGATGAACTACTATTTACAGGCTCAGTCTTAAGTGGGCCATCAAGGCAGCCACTGCAACTGTGAAATCATAAATTGTCTGGATCACTACAGTAAGAGAGTTTTTCACAGATCTTACTGTTTAGACTCTTGCATTATTTTTGGCTCCTATCATTTTGTGCTTAGAATCATTGTATGTTTTCATTTTTCTTTTTGTGTGTGTTTTTAAGAAATCTTGAAGTTGAAAGCCTATATAAGACCTAAATGTTTACATTTTAAAACATTTCTACTTGTGGGCTTTAAGGACTAAACTCTAATTCAGATAGGGATTCAGTGTTTAAATGCTGTGACTAGTTTTTTCACAGTTCAGTAGTATAGAAGATAATCATTACATTTGTACATCAGTGTTTTTCATTCTGCAATGCAATCCTTCTATGTTCACAAGAAAAAGAAATAGAAAAAAATAGGAACTGAGTTGAGACTGTTTCTCTAATTTTCATGAGTAGAAATGCAGGTATTTCTTTTGTGAAAATGTCAGTATGAATTAACAACATAAACTCATACTGCAAGTTTTGTGAGTGATAAGATGCAAGTAGGACTTATGTCTTTACATAGCAAGAAACAAAAAAGACATTGTACTAAGCAAGGGCGTTACTGGTAAGTGAGTGGGAGTGAGCATGGAGAGTTTGTCTTCATGACCTTACTGTTTAACCACTGCTGAGTGACTCTCTTCCTCTCAAGACCTGGCTCACAAACAGAAACCTATTTCTAAGAGAACTATGCTACCATTACAAAATCCTAGAAGCACCATTTATGCAAGACTCATGCCATGGTTGCTCCAGAAGCCATTTAATATTCACATTTAGGAATTTAAAGACATCATGTGTCTTAAGAATTTAAAAAAATAAAATTATTTTTAAAAACTCCACAAATCCTGTGGAGAAATTAGATTTTGGAAAATAATACATATTTTCAGGGAAATTTACTTTCTCAAGTATGTCTGTCACACTGGTGGACATCCTCACAGATAATCTTCTCAACTAAGAGACATTAATTTTAAATCACAAAAATTATCAATGCTTGGACAGGGTAGTAGTATTTTATATGAAAGGCATTCTCAAATTTTTAAGGACAAGTTTAAAAACAATATTAAAAGATAAATTGTATTCATTTAAATGATCTCAGTAAAGATAATTTTATAGAGAACAAATATATTCTAAGGCAGAAATAATTTACATGTGGACTTTGTAGAAAAGCATAATAAAAACAAATAATAAAATCATTATTACTGACAACCTTAAACATGCTCACTCTGTGTGTGTATATACATATACATATACATATACATATACATATACATATACATATACATATACATATACATATATATGTATGTATATTTTGAGGACAACCTTTCTTTGTATAGCCTTACCTCTCCTAGATCCAGCTGTGTTGACCAGGCTAGTCTTGAACTCACAGAAAACTGTCTGCTTCTGCCTCCCTAATGATGGGATTAAAGAACTGAGCTACCACCACCTGGCTCCACTAAAATTTTTACTCTTTCAGAATCTGAATGAAGAACATGGAAGCAAGAAACCACTGCACAATGACTGAGTTCTTCTTAGCTGGGCTTTCAGAGAAGACTGAACTCCAGATGCCCCTCTTCTTTCTCTTCATAGGAATCTATGTGGTCACTGTAGCAGGCAATCTGGGCATGATCACACTGATTTTGCTCAGTTCCCACCTGCACAACCCCATGTACTATTTCCTCAGCAGTCTGTCCTTCATTGACTTCTGTCAGTCCACAGTTGTCATCCCTAAAATGCTGGTTGGCTTTGTGTCAGGGAAGAATCTCATCTCCTACCCTGCATGCATGTCTCAGCTCTATTTCCTTATCATTTTTGGCGTTGCAGAGTGTTACACATTAGCTGCAATGGCATATGACCGCTATGTTGCCATCTGTAAACCCTTGTTTTACAGTGTCACCATGTCCTATCAGATTTACAGTTCCCTGATTGCAGGAGTGTATATTTTTAGTGTGCTCAGTGCATCAGTTCACACAGGGTTCATGATTAGGATTCAGTTCTGCAAATTAGATGTGATCAACCACTATTTCTGTGACCTTCTTCCCCTCTTGAAGCTTGCACACTCTAATACCCATATCAATGAATTGTTGATTCTAATTTTTGGTTCATTGAACATCTGTTTGCCTATCCTTACCATTATTAGTTCCTACACCTCCATCATTGCCAGTATCCTCCACATTCGCTCCACAGAAGGCAGGACCAAAGCCTTCAGTACTTGCAGTTCCCACATTTCTGCTGTTGCTATCTTCTTTGGTTCTGCTGCGTTCATGTACTTACAGCCATCATCAGTGAATTCGATGGACCAAGGAAAAGTGTCATCTGTGTTTTATACTACTGTTGTTCCTATGCTGAATCCTTTAATATACAGCATGAGGAATAAAGATGTCAGTGCTGCCCTGAAAAAAATACTTCAAAGAAAAACATTCATGTAATCAGAAGTAATGTGGGGATTTGTTATTAGACAAAAAAGTTTGAATTTGTTATTTATTTTATTCTACTTTTAAGAGTTCTTACTCATTTGCTAGGATAGTTAAATAATTTTTACAAGTATTAATCTAAATTTTCTATGCACTTAATATCTCTTCTTTCACAGAATGAACCATGGAAACCAATAGTAAGGATGAAATGAATTTACATGTCCATAATGGATAGTCTATCATGTTAAGTTTATTCTTTTCATGTTCATTAAATATTACTTTAAATTATGAAACTTTATTCTTAACTACAATGAACTTTATACTTTTTTTGAGGGGGGAGGGGTTGAGACAGGGTTTCTCTGTGGCTTTGAAGGCTGTCCTGGAACTAGCTCTTGTAGACTAGGCTGGGCTGCAACTCACAGAGATCCTCTGCCGCTGCCTCCCAAGTGCTGGGATTAAAGGCGTGTGCCACCAACGCCCAGTGAACCTTATATTTTTAAAATTTATTTTTTATTCATTTGGGGAATTTCATATCTAAGTTCTATAACTACCTCATTGTCTCTATATTCCTTTAATACCTCCTGTGCTACCCTGTTCTCTGTCAAATTAATGGCCTTCTTTCCTTTATTACACACACACACACACACACACATATGAACCACACATATATCAATTTAAATATACTAGGAGCTTCATCCATAGGAAGACTGATACCATTCTCAGCCATCATGAACTATAGCTCTTCATCTAGGGAGTCCCCTGAGATTTTTCTTCTATATTGGTGTGCCAACTGGTATCATTTTGGCTCGTTTTTAGGAAATTATATTGTTGAGAATCATGGTGGCTTTTTCCTGTCATACACAAAAAAAAAAACACAATGTCACCATATCCATTTTATCCTCTGACTCTTAGAACATTATATTTTTCCTCAAAATATTCCACAGTCTGAGGTGTAGTGATTGTATTGTAGATGGATTAATTGTGACACTTCACCACAACATACATCACTTGTTCCCTGTATTCAGAGAAGCTATGGATTTCTGTAATGGCCTACATCTGATGTAAGCAGAATTAAACTTTTTTGTGGGTGAGATGATCAGTACTAAGTATGCAGTTAAATATTATACTAGTTTAGGAGAGTGTCACTATTATACTATCCTCCACCTTCTGTGACCCCATCAGTACCTCAGAGTTGACAGTTTCAGGGGAACAAACTATGAAGTTCCTCCTATTTAGTGGACGTTAAGAATAATTTCATAACTATTGATTACTGTCATGCTGTCACTGACACTATTGAATGTATATGGACAACTTGCTTTGCTGGTTAAATTATTGTGCTTCATAGGTGTCACAGCTGGGTAAAACTATTCACTCCATTTGGCATCTTGGGTGTTTTATACCCATTTCCATACTAAGAAATGTAGTCCTCATGGAGTATGCTTCTAGGTGTATTTCAGCTCTATTCAACCAAGTCAAAGTCCTGGGTCAGAATGCTGAGTGTCTTAACAACAGAAAAGTACTTTAAATTTCTGTGGATCAAGTAAAGGCAACAGCAATAGCATATAATGTTTTGGGATGGCTGTGTGTGTGTGTGTGTGTGTGTGTGTGCGTGTGTGTGTGTGTGTGTGTGTGTGTATTTTTAGGTAAACAAAATAATATGATGCTCCATGGCTGTTTTAAACAACTTCATTGGTATTTATTAATCATTACTATTTCTTTTTCTATGTTGCTTTACATCCCCTCTCCCCAAATAATAGGATCCAATATTTTTTTTACTCCATAATAGCATCTCTATGCTGTTATTCTATCTCTAAACTAGATGCCCTCCCAACCATCCTTTTTTATTTTTGTGGTTTCTGAACACTCTAGATTGTACACACACACACACACACAAAAAAAAAAAAAAAAAAAAAAAAAAACAGAGATTTGGGTCTTGTATCCTGAGCAATGGAGACCATGTGGTATTTGTCTTTCTGGCTAGAATTCCCTCACTCAATATTTTCCAGTTCTGTCTATTTACATGCAAATTTAACATCTTATTTTTTTTAAAGCTAAATAGAATTCAACTATGTAGAAGAACATGAAAGGAACTTCCAGAGGCATCATCATCCTTGACTTAAAGCTCTACTATAGAACTATAGTAATAAAAACAGCCTGGTAATTGGCTTAAAAACTGACATATGTATTGAGGGGAATAACTGATATGAAATACATAAGGTTAAGATAACTTTTAATAGATAAATGCCAGCCAACAGCAAGCCAGAGCGTGCCAAAAGCAGGAAAGCAAGAGAGTGCCCATGTGCTTTGTTTGTCCCATTAATACCTCTCTTGCATCACCCTGACATCACCTTGACCACACCCTAGTGGGTGTGGTCAGGCACAGCTATAGCCTGTCACTAGGAGGACTGGTTACAGAGTCTCCCTACAATTTCTCTTTTAGTCTAAATGAGGGTAAAAATTTAACAGTGTAAAGTATCCAAAATTAACAATCATAAGGTGAAATACAAGAAGATACAATAATCTGCTATGTAATATTCTAACAATATCTATTTCAGCTAAACCCTAAAGTCATCTGAAAGAGGTGTCTAAGCCTGAAAAACTCCTTCCAATCCCAACCATAAACAATAGGAAGCTATCCCTAACTAGGTATATACTATCCTTAGTAACAACAATGGGGGAAAGAGGGCATAGCATTCTCCAAGTTACTTCCTGCTGATATGGGACAGCAATAGCCTCCTGGGGTCCTGTAGGAAGAAAATCTTAGTATAAAGAAAGTCTTGAATGGATTGTAACCAGTCCATGTTCGATGAGATTTGCTTAATTGAAGATCTAGTTTGAAATCCTCAACTTGATTTTAAGTCAGTACCAGAAGCTCTAGTTGGAGTGTCAGTTGAAATGGAGTAAGTTGGATCCAGTGTAGTCGAGGAGATATGGCCCAATTTCTTTCCAGAGCTTCCAGGGATTGCTGTCAGGCAGGTCTCCATGGGCTGTGTGGGACTCAAACATAAGAGTTAGCAGAGAAATGTATAGTTGTCTTGACCTGCAAGACAGCAACTTAGAGCAAGAAGTCCAGGGAGGTGAATGGAGACAAGAGATGCAAGAGAATGACCACAGGACAGGATTCTGATCAAGTGGCAAATTTTATCTTTTCCAGGCTAGCTTATATAGTCAGTATATGGGGTAAAGGGGAGGGGGAGAAGAGGCAAAGAGCCAGGTGTTAGTTCAAGCAGGATGTTAGAAAACTATAAAAGGAGGATATTGGCAGGGTAAAATATTCATGGGTGGTGGGGAGAGGGAGGGTTACCTAGGTAAGTGGTTGGTTGAGGGAGGGTTGATTAGGTAAGTGGGACTATTGTTGGAACAAAGGATTGAAGTCTGGTTCATGTTGTTCCTTCTGGGTTTTCATGCTTCTAGAAGCCATTTATAATCAAAAGACAGTTCTATAACCCTGTGGCTTGCCAAGTTTCGCCTAAAGGATCATGGCAAGCTGTATGGCTCCCAACATAAATGTTTGCTTTTATATGTATGCTTACTGGGAAAGGAAACCATGGGAAAATAACCATTATGAGAGGGTGTACACCTTGAAGGAAAGAGCCAAGAAAGACAAGGACAGTCCCCAAATTCTTCTCTGATTCTGTATTACATGAATTGGCTTCTTGATACAATACGGAAACTCTAAAGTTTAGTTAAACAACGTGCTTGGATTTTAGAAGATGAAAGCAAAATCCACCTCTAAATCCAGCATTGGTTTAATTGAATAGGGACTAGGAAATAAAGAGAAATAGAGTTCTCTGAGATAGCTATAAGTTTACTGTATGGCACGTTTCTTTCATTTGATGGTTATAGCTACCGTCTTTTCTTAAGTATTTTTGCGTGCAGTGTCCTTTGCATTCTGGAGATTAGTTTTCCTGTGAAGATAAAAGCAAAACACTTCCCTTTCCTTTGGGAGGTTTCTATTTAGTTTATTAGATATACCTTAGTAGAATACCTGTCATTTGTTGAGAGGTTTTTCTTTTTCAACTCAAATCTTGATCAACTTTGATGGTATCCAAAG